TTTATGGAATCGTCGTGAAATCACCATAAAAACGAAAGTCCGCATTTATATTGCCGTGATCCGTTCGATCTTATTATATGGTTCTAAGATATGATCAGTGAGAGTGGAGGATATTAAGAAGTTATCTGCCTTTGACCACTCTTGTCTAAGGTACATATTACGGGTTCGCCGAGTGGATAAAATCTCACTATATCGCATCCACCTTCGTTCAAATACCATTTGAATAAATAATGTTATCACAGAGTGTCGCTTTCGCTGTTAGGGCACGTTTTCTGTCGTCCACTACAGGAGTTGACGCATATTTCATTACTTAACCCTGTGATGGTTGGCGTCAGAAGCGAGGTGAGCCAATCAAGACCTGGGCTGATACGGTGAGAAAAGGTTTTGAACATATAGGTGGACCAGCGATATATGGACTTAGACAATGGAAAAAGGAATGGCTTCCATTACTGTCAACGATCGCATCAGACCGCGCCTCTTGTTTTACCCTAGTCGTTGGAGCCAGCCTAACCAGTAATGATGAGAGCTGTTAGAAGAAGAAAAATAAGTCCATTTTGATGATTTTGTAATGATATATAATTATTTTACTTTTTATTTTATTATTTTTGTTATTTCTTTTATCTTTGTCTTATTTTTTATTTTTTTAATTTCGTAATTGTTCTTGTTAGGAAAAAGAAAAAAAGGAAAGGGTAAGAGCTATTCTTCCATAGCTATTCAGCTTTGAAATTTCTTTAATTTTTTAATTTTAAAATGAAAATTTTCCAGGGCTATTCGTAAGGCGACTGGGAGGTCATCAGAACGATTCGGTTATTTTTTTCGTGGGATTTTACTGAATTTAAATAGAAACTGTTTGTATCGGATGTTTCTTACTTTTTTTTTAATCGTTTTTTAGTTCATCATGTGAATTTCTTTAATTCAATTAAGTTTTAGCTATACTTGACTGGCGAGCTTGCAATGATGTTATTGAATCGATTCTTGTTCTATTTGGTTCATTCTTTGCTTTGATACAAGTACTGATTGATTTACAATCCACGTAAATTTAGATAATTTGGCTATAAAAGGGCGTTTTAAATTTTTGAATGTATAGAATATTTATAGAATATAAATATTTCTTATTAAATATAATTTTTCAAACATGATATATGTTATCGCTTTATAGATTGAAGCTGAAGTAATGAAGAAAATTATTGTCGATGTAAGTGCTGAAGCAAAAATACAACGTGAGCTAATTGTCCGTCCACTGCGAAATGTAATTGATCGTTCCTCCAGACTTCTTGATGAAAATGAATATGCACTCATTCCTTTATTACCTCTTCTCAAGCATGTAAATTCCCATCACAATCAACTTTCCTCACTGGCTGATGTATGGCTCTATTTTAAATTTTTCTGCTTTACTCTCAAATATTGATAAATTAAATGTGTCGCAGATAACATCAGTTTGTAATAACAAATGTAATTAATAAGTTCACAAGTTATAAAGATATTGAACATTTTTTTATCATCAAATAATTGCTTAATTATTAAATAATTAATAATAATTGTTTAATAATTATTTAATAATTTAAATAATTGCATAGAATGCGAATGGTCAAATTCCTTACCAAGCGTTCTATAATAAATTGCGATCGAAGTGCACAAGTTCATTGGATGAATTTTTGGATCGTTTAGCGAGCGATTCGAATAAATATGTTCCAGATGATGGAAATGTTCACCAGATTACATCTGATGTATGAATGCAATTTTATCGATTTGATTATGAAAAATAATGTTGATATAATATATATGAATCTAAATTAAAATACAAGTGGATTTGCAAGAATCTTTAGATATATTTTTGAGTTGCTCCGGCTGAAACCATGCATCATTCGATTCCTTTTCCTTAAGGAAAAAGTTTTCCTTAAGGGAGATTCTATCATTATAAGTGATATTTTAATTATTTCAAATTTCAAATCGAATTTAACTGTTTTCTTGAAGAATTTTATTAAAATATTTTCACAGCAATCCTTTATTTTGTTCAGTTTCGACAATTTGATAAAAAATTGTTTTGGTATTATTTTGTCCCATATGTTAAAAAGTCTCTAGATTTTTATAAATTCATGCTTCTTGATCAGTGATCTATTCAAATTTCTCTTGGATTTTAGATTTATTGAATATTATTTACTCTATTTCTTCTTAAATTCCAATAGTTTTTAGTAATGGCGATCTTTCTAGACTTTGAACTTTTTGAATGGTTTATTGGAATATCGCCAAACTGTCTCTCAGCTTTTGACGACATCATCTTCAAATAATTCTTCACACCATTTGCCTCGTCTTTTTGGTATGGTCCAATTTATTTAATTTTGGCTTTCTCAAATTTTATTTTTAACTAAAAAAAGTTTATAATTACAGCTCGGATTTTATCAGCACTTGGACTCAATTTAAAGAATAAAGCAGAAAATTACAGCGATGAAACGTTGGCAGCTATCTTTCTTTTAAATAATAATAATTATATTCATAGTATTCTGCAAAACGATGGAATGCTTTCTATTGTTTGTGAACATAATGCACAAATTCATTCGTTTTACCGCTCAGAAATCAATCTTTATAAAAGCAAATATCTCCAAAGGTTGATTTTTTTTTTGATCAAAATTTTCTTATTATTTTGTGAAATTATTGACAAACCTTAATTCATTTCAATTAATTAGTTTTTTTTGATATCTAGTTATTGATATTGATATTTTTGCAGCTGGAATAAAGTAGTTGCGACTTTACTCTCAGATGAGCTTATTATAACTGATCGACATTCGATTAAAGCAGTTATCTTAGTTAGTGGAAATATTGATTAATTTTTATTTTTTATTTGTTTTTAAAATTTATTTCCTATAAGCCCTAGAATAAAAAAATTTTGCCGTTAATTTTTATTGTTTTTTATTTTGTAATTTTATGGATTTTATAATTTGTAAATTTTTATGGATTTTTCATTTACAATAATCATTTGTTTAAAGAGCGGCAAAATTTAATTAATTTAATTTAATTGAATATTTATTATTATGAAAATTTCTTTCTATTATTTGTGCATTTCTGTTAACGTTATTTGCCAAAAATAGTTTAGGCATTTAATGCTGAATTTGAAAAAGTCGTAAACACTCAAAAGGATTATTGCATCACCGATTTAAAACTCTCGTGCGATATTAAGAATGAGGTAAAAAATCTGGTATGCGAAAAATATGCGGATTTTTATGCAAGGTATGAAATTAAATGGTTTGGGACTTCATATGGTTCATTTTTTTCCAAATCTTTTGTGATGATTTCATTCATCTATAAATTTGTAAATTCATCCAGAGCTAAAAAAATAATTTGTGTAATATTTAAATTTTTTTTGCTGGCTTTGTTTTTGACAAATTTATTCACAATTCAAGCATTTTTTTACATATTTTTCTTTTGTATTATCTAATATTATAACGTTAAAAAAAGAAAGAACCTTTAAGAATCAATCGATTGCAAATATTCAGAGGACTTGAAAAGCACTTGAAATACACTCCTCAATCTCTCGAAAGAGTGATGGATCGACTTTTCGTTGTTAGCGGTTAAATGAATTATTCTAATAAACAGAAATATTTGTCTCGACTGATATAAAATTATACATAGGTATATACTGTAGTACCAATTTATTCATTTATTTCTGCCAGTAATATTTCTACTTAATGTCAAAATGCCAAGCTTATTACTTAAAAAATAAATCTTTCGTCAACCCTGTGTAATCGTTAATACATAATTGTTTCAAGAAATCTCGAAATCTCCCCGTGTCACACTACTTTAAAATTTGACTTTGACCATCTTTCATTTTCAACTCTTATTTATCCTGCAGTTTTCAGTGTGAAATTGAATCATCCTATTTCATTCATTTCCTTCAGGCCTATTGAAAAAAACTTACGGATTTAAAAATAACTTAATTTTACCGTTGTTTTTTAGATGGCTGAAAATTTATTACAATATTTCGTTCAATGGTTAAGCACTAAAAACTTTTAAATTTACCGTTCCAAATAATTGAACCAAAATATATAATGCATTTTATGAGTGTTTCATGAAGAAAAATACACCATTCGTTGCGACTATTGATACTTTCTAATTTCTTATTTTTGCTACGGTTTAACTTAATCGGCATTTACAGATATTTCTTTGATCTTCTTCCTTCATTTTAAAAGAACTTTTCAAAAAAAAATGGTATAAGTGGTTCATCAATGTGTGGTATATATATATATATATATATATTTAACACCTATGATATGCCTTTATCTATTTTCTTAAGAGGTCCGCTTTTATTCACGTTGAGTAAACTGTGATTTAAACTAATGTTTTTTTTAAATCTCATCGAATTTAATTTTGAAACTATACACGCCAAAGATAACTGAAAACATCAAAACATAAAAGTACTCTGATGTACAATACTCATAAACATTTAGAACCGATATCGGTAATTTTTAATTTTTATGAAAACGATGACAAAAGTTAATGTTTTGTTGAACAGCAGTGAATCATTCAAATTCTTATCAGGACATCATCCATCAGTTTTCTTCCCTTCATAATTTACCAACTGAGTACCAACCAGGTACCTAAATTTAAAACTAATTTCATAATATTCTATCTGCAAAACGACATAATAGATAGGTAAATTACTATAAAATTAAGAAAAATTTGAGAAAATTTTACTTATCGTTTCGAATTTTCTGCGCAAGAGCTTTCAATTTCGAGCACTGCCAGTATATAAAATAAATACAAGTTATGCAATACAGCATCACAGGATATGAGTAGCGCAAAAACAGCATACTTTCCGAAGCAGATATATTTATTGCGAGCGATATGAAATTAACAGCAACACGTGGAGCAGTTAAAAAAATAGCGAGGCAAGCAAAGATGGGTGCTACTAGTTCTCTGTATAAAAATACGACTCGAACACCACGGAATCCATCAGCGTAAATCTATAAATTTAAATTTATGGACTAAATTATTATAAGCCGAAAGAGGAATGAAAGAAGATTTTAATGAATGCTTTACAAAAGAAAATAAAAAACCACAGACTGTACTCTATACTGTATTCAGTTTTTATGAAAAATACATGATACAGTCGAGTAAATTTTCAATTATTTTCTTAATTTCGTTGCTTGGTTGTAAATTCAGTTGCATTGCTTTTTTCACACGAACAATGACAGATAATAGGCAAATTATATTATCAATTATATTATTATGACTTCGAGTTATAAACCTGTAACTAATAAGATACCGGATGGTTATAAAAAAGTACCTGTTCTAAAACATTCCTCATCCACCAATCTGGTCCCATCATAATACCAGCACAAAATATTTTGCAATGAAGTACACCCATTGCCCAATGCTGCCAAGAAAATATTAAAGGCGTCTGATGATGCGCCAAGCGAATTGGACTAATAACTGCCAAATAGAAGCAAATTCCAGTTAACAAAGGAATAATGATTAGAATGGGCACTGTCACAACGAATATTTTAAAAAGCTAAAATAAATTACTTTAATAGAGCAGTTCTCAAACAAAATATAAATGAAACTCTACTTGTTGTAATTGCATGTCTAGTTCCATAAGCCAGCGGAGCAAGTTTAACCAGTAATGGTGAGGGCTCTTAAAAAAAAACTTGTTCTAATTATTCTTTCTCATAAAATCTTAAAACTGATCAGAGGAACTGGAACGACTTGCATGACTTGACGAAAAATGGAAAACAAACAGTGAATACAGTATTGCGAAATGCAGATAGAAGATATCGTGATCCTCGCGGTGCATATTCTGCCAGCAGAAGACATAATTTGAGTATAAGCCAGCAAAAATAAAGACCTACTGCTATCGTATATAACTCATGAACATTCGTATGTCCAGACAGATTACAAATGATTAAGCGCCCCAAGGAAACTGAAAAACTGAAACTGTAATTGTAAAAATAAAAAAATGACAACAATTCTAAAAATTCGCATTCTGATGAATAATTTCCAAAAATTTCGCAAAAAACAAACCAGGCAGAGTAAGAAGAATAACACTTATCAGCATAGAAGTGAATGACAATGCCATTAAAAGAGCAATTATTCGTAGCGGAAAATAAGGTGGTTTTGAATACGTTTGAAAACCTTGTGGTTCGCGAAAAAGCAATAATGCTTGGTGCTGTGCAGCTAGGCCCATTCCTACAGGTTCTGGCGGAACTTCTGCATTATATGGAGCTTGCTGTTCATCCACAGGAAGCAAATATTGCTCAAGGTTTAGAAGTCTTCCAAAAAACCGGCACCATATACGCACAATCATTTTCAAAATTGTGCGTGCATGTGTTTGTTCCAGCAAAGTAGGAAGTACTACCTTAAAAGAAATTTCTTTATTATCTTTATTATTTATTAAATTTCGTGTTTATTTTTCATTGAAAACAATAAAATTCTTAAAAAATGAAACTAATAACTTGTAACATAAGCAGTTCAAGAGACAATTCACTGAGTGGTGTTTCTGCTGATAGATTCAAATTAAAGGGTAGAATTTCAGGTATATATCGAGCAATGAAATTCAATGGAAGATAAACAATAAGGATTATTGTCATGAAAAAAAGAGATGTTGACGCGATCAGACGTCGTAAATGTCGCAATACAGGTAATTCGATCATCTAGAAAAAAATTCAAGATTAACGAAAACTAATAAAATAAAAAAGCTTGATTTGAATTTTATGAAATTTATAAAATTTGATGAAAAAAACTTCTTGAATAGGATTGAATTCCGGATCATTTAGATTACGAAGAAACCAAAGCACTCCAGGACGAAGAACTTCGCGAAGAATAAGAATAAAAGATGCCGAATAAAACACATAGACCATTCCAATAAGCCAATGTAAAAATAGTGAAGAGGTTGGTGACGCAGTAAAAGAAGCTATACGACGTGATAAAGTCGAAGCAAAAAGAGGCTACAATATTCATATTAGCCTTAGTCCAAAGAAATTTAAAAAAATCTTATGAATCGAAACCAAAAGAATCTAAAAACCAATTAACTTGTTAATTCAATCAAAAGAAACATTACTTTTGAACAGTAAAATCTTATTCGAGAATAAACAGGAAATAAATGAGGATTAAAACATACAAGAGAACAAATATCTAGCCACCAACCACATAATATTGGAAAGAAGCCAATTTCTGTTAACACAAGTAAAAACACTTTCAACGCGAGATAACAAATACCAAGTATCCGATATAATCTGCAATTTTTCAGGATTACCTTAACGTAGTTTCCACAGAAAGTCAACAAAATTATAATCACCACTAGTGGATTTAACGATTTTTTTAAGAAAGAGAAAATATACGTACGGTGCAAATCCAAATATTCGAGCAATAAAATGAAGAAAACGAACAAAAAAGCTAAGAATAATATAACCAAGCAGAATTGATATTAATGTTGAGAAATAATGAATTCGAGAAGCAAGACCAATTCCTTTAAGAAGAGAATATCCAAGTTGATATGGTGAAAACGCTTAAAAAAAGGTCATTAATTAATACTCATTAATATTAATATTAATATTACTCATTAATATTAATTAATATTAATCAATACCTTATTTGACCAATTTAAACCATTTAAACCGATAATATTCAAATATTATTCGTTCAAATTATTTCGGCTTGTAATTTAAAAGGAATTACTAAATAAGATAAAGGGATTAGAAAACAACATTGAATGCAACGGTTGAATATATACATATATTCAAACAAACCGAAAAGGATAGTGAATATTGTATTGAGGGAAATCACCCAAAATACATGCTCCAAAAAAAGAAGTGATCCATCAAGACCCAGTAAGCGCTGCCAAGTCAACTCATCAGCAACACGTTCCCATTCTCGCCAGTTCTCGTTTTCTTCCCCATTTTGAGCCGCTGCCTCTTCATCAGCAACATTTATATCTACATTAGCTTCTCCATCACCAAAATCTCTAGCATTTTCCACAGCTGCTCGGAGCTCTTCCTAAAACTGCTTTTTTATTATAACAAATGACCCTCTAAAAAAATTTTCGAAAAAAGGATAAAAAACTATCCTATAGAACTATAGAACTATAGAACCTGAACTGGATTTCCATTTCTACCACTGACTATTTCTAAATTTAGCCATTCTTGAGGACCGCCATGTAAAATCTGTTCTCTAAGCCACACCAGTGAAATGAAAGCGCACAAAAACACGCTTACAATGAATAAGCCCTGAAATAAGCAAACAAAAAATTTTGTGAAAAAATTAATTATATTTGAAAAGATTAAAAAATTGATAGTAATTTACAAAACATTTTAAAATTACTTTAACGCAATCCACAATCATATTCTCCAGAGAAAATAACTGCAAAGGTAAAGACAAAATATTAGACAGTGATGAAGAAAAAATTAAACGATAAATACGACAAGCAGTGATCGGTACAATGCCTAACCACGCTATAATTACCAGTGTGTAAACTGCCCATGAACGTACTAATCGGCACAAATTCCATAATATACCTTAAATTTTGTTGCTTAAAAATCAATTTCAACATATTTATTTATTAATAAAGCTATTAATTATTAACTTGAATAGAATAACAGCAGTAGATGAGGCAATTTAGTTCCAGTAATGAGCTGGTTAACGTTTGTAATAATTTCTTAGAGAAACGGTACTTGGTAAAGATCCTCCAGAATACATTTAAACAATTGAAGGAATCTTTAGATTCCATTTATTTTCTTTGCTGATTTATTTAACTGTATATTGTACAATTTATAATTTTATATTTACCTCCACATTTAAATACTCTTACATCATAGATCGGATTAATAATTTTTTTTTAGGTTCATCGATAAATCAATTAATCAGAATAATTGTAAATGGTGGAAAATAAAAACCTTTAACAACTTCCATCAAAGGCAAATTTTTAGGCATATCCGATCGGTAAATCGGTTGAAAAGAATATTTATGACTACACAATTCACACACTTCCTTTTTGCTATATTTCAGCCATTCCAAAAGACAATCTTGATGAACGTACTTTATGCTACCAGTACACAGACAAGGATAATATAAAACTGTATCTCCAGCACTTCGACAAACGCGGCATATATCTGCAGAATCCGAAAATAAAAATCGGTCATTTGAAGAACTTGAAAAATAAGCAACAATTATTGAAACGACTACCTTACAAACGACAAAACCGTAACAATCTTATTAAGTTAAAATAAATTTTAATAAGTTCATCAATCATTAATGAGATTAAATTATAAAAATTCCCAAAAAAAAATCATAAATAAAGTAAATACGAAAAGTGACCTGTTGATTCACTGTCCTCACTGCTTGATGCCTGGGCAAATTTAGGTAAATCATCTAGAAACAAATTTGCACTATTTGCATTGAAAACTTAAAAAATTTTCATTTACGTCAGTTTTGCTAATAATTAAATAAAATCAATAAATAAATATAGCAAAAAAAAGCGACCTCCGAAATGTTCCATTTTTGTCAAACAATTGTCGAAACAACTGATAATGAAAAGAACAAAACGATAATTATATAAATTCAATTTGAAAAATAAAATTATTCATTTAAAATAATTCGCCTTTTCACCAATAAATTGTAAAACTGCAAATTTTAAGAATTTTAAGAAAGAAAATTTTACGAGTTTTTTCAGACTTAAACTTTTCGATTTCTACATTTTTTCTAGATTTCTATTTTAATTTATTTTAAACCTTTCTTCAAATGATTTTGATCAAATTTGAAAAATAGATTTCCCAAGCGACGTAAAGGCGTTACCTTCAAATCAAATTACCGGTGATTTCATTAAGAGTCATCCAATCAATAACAAAACCTAAACTCATTTTTGCTCCAAATCACCGCACTAATTTGTTTTAAATTTGCACGCCTATCGCCATCATAAACGAAAAATTACTGAATAATAATTTGCAATTAAAATTATATTATTTATCTCATAGAAAGGAAGTTAATTTTTTAATAATTTGTAAGATAAAATAATTCGTATTCGATAAATAATATTAACAATCAAATCGGTTCATCTGACGACTTATAAATTAACGAAATGGAATAAAGTCATCATAGAATTTAATGAAGTAATTAACCAAAAATGTAGTATGCTAACGCCACCCTCCCCCAGAACCCTAAAACATATTCATACATCGCAGATCACAAAAAACACGTCACGGGAACAAATAGCACCGTAGACACACTTTCCTTATAAGACCAAATTTTTTAAAATTTCGCACTCGGAACAATTTCGCGGAAATTTCGTGTTCTTTGGTTTCACTTGCTTGGAAAGTCCGAAGTCCAACGAAGTCAGCGCTGCAGTCGAAATTAAAGATTCGCGAATTCAATTTACGATTTAACAAATGGAAATTCAATAAATAAATACAAAAATCTATCATTTTTTAAAATTCATTTTCATAAGGTCGGCAAAAAATTTTTTGGCCGACAAACAATAAAAAAATATCGAAAATTAATTTCTGAATAAAATAGTCGAATAACAAAAAATTGTTCCACAGTTGTCCATCTTCTAAACTAATTCTCCTCCACTTTTTTTATAATTCAGTCAAATGCAATTTATGCACATTCAGATCAAATATTTAATATTCTTCTGACAATTTGCATAGCAGAAGAAAAGGAAATTTCTAGAAGAAATGCCATTTTACAAGGCTGATTTTCCTACGTTACGCAGCTGAAGTGCTAATTAATCAATGATTGCGGTGTTGTGAAAACGACTGAATTTTTTATATCAAAATAGACTAATAACAAATATACCAATCAACAAATTATTCAACAAATAAAGAGGTCAAAATAAAAAAAACATCGACGATATGGTACCAATTCAGCGAAACCTTTTTTTCTTCCACGTAATTTCTCAAGCTTTGGTTTTAGGATGCTTTATTGGGATAACAACAAATCCGTAAAATATTCATAAAATGCTTCATTTGCAAAGATCTTAAATTCAAGTGAATTTAACGTTTTATCCACATTTGGTCTAACGATACTAATCACTAATACGAAAAATAGATTAGAAAGAATATTTAGATGAAAAAAAAAAAATTTATAGAATTTATAAATGCGAATCTGGCAAAATATAGTAAATTAGAGATGAAAAAGTACAGCGATAATATAAACCTTATCGCGTAAGATCAAATGACCACTATTTTTGTCTAATGGTAGTACTTTTGGTTAGGTTCGTCCTAAACTTAGCAGGATTTCGTCGGAAAGTTATGGATGAGGTCCTCGCACCATTCGGATTTTCGAATGGAGAATTGGAGCTTTAGCCGGGAATCGGAGGACGAATCATTATGCTCGAAATAATCTAATCTAAGCAACAGCAAATAAACATAATAATGGAACAATAATATAATTATCGTCCATAATTTCAAATTTTTTTGATTTCATTAAAAGAATATTTAAATATTTTTAGATTTTTAGATTTTATGTAATCACCATCACCATTTTGTGAAATCAGCTTATTAACAAACGACTGATTGATTTTCTGATTCGGTCTTACATCCAAGTATTCTAAGTCCAAACATTTCAGCAATCTACAATGGATGGAACAATCACCTTTTTTTATTTCGCGATAGGAGAACTAGGAGACCACTCAGTTGGAATGCGAAGTTTGTATCGCCAAGAGACACAAATCGGACCTATGATGGCTTCAGTTCAGTCAACACAGTCAACATCCTATTTAATTAGTTAAGCCACAATCTTTTCAAGATTTATATGATATTCAATTCTATGAATATAACTAATTTAACTTTTCATGAATTAAACATTGGAAAATCTCCCAAAGTATATCATTTTTATTGATCATCTGAAGTAGAAAAATTTGCTTCGATATTTTTAATGTTAGATAAAATTTCATTAACTATTGAAAATAACAAAGTTCTTCAGTTTCATTTCTCGTTTTTACGACTTTTTGGATAGACAAAGGAACTTCAGCCTCATGTTTGAAATTTGGGTTCCTTAAATGCTAGAACTATTCTCGAGTTTTTCATCCAAAAAGCGAATCCATTTAATCAGTTCGGACATCACTCGGAAACTAAATGATGAACCTGTTTATAATGGCGTAGCTTGTAGAAAATGGCGATCGTTTAATTTTGAAGTTCAATTTAGGATGCCGTCACTTCAATATTAACATCATCAGTATCCACGGTACCATTCATTTGATAATACATTCCTACTATCCTTTTCCAGTCAATAACCGTTTCTATGTTCCAATTACCACTTTTTCCAATTTCTTCATTATCTCGAATTTCTAAAATTAAGAATTCAGTGTTGTTTGCCAATTTCTTTTTCTAACAACCACATTCACCATTTCGAAAAATATGATGGCCCAGCTTAAGTCAAAATAAAATACTCGATATTTGCTCCAAATAATTTATCGATTTTGATTTCTAAGTAAAGTCGATTTTATCGGAAAAATAATAAGTGATAAAATAAATCTTGCAAAAATAAATCTCAGAAGTGAATTAAAATAGTACCATTTTCTTCATTTTCATGATGTGGTAGAGGACTTACTCGGCCGGTGTCTCCATTCATAGAGAATGCGTCTATATCCTCTTCATACCGGAGATCTTGTTGTGCTTTTTGAGTGCAAACTTTTACTGAAACCAAAACTTACTATTTTGAATGTTAAATCATAAATCTGACCTATTTCATCCAAGAATCTAACTAAATAAAATTAAAAGCCCAATGATCCGATCAAATAAAAAAATTTATTAATAACATTTATTTCTATAGGCAACTCGCAAGACGGCAATTAATTTGGTTAACATATTAATTGGTGCTGGGGTCGCTGAACGTTTGTTCATTTGCCGAATTAATATTGCTCGCCCAAATTTCCATTCTTTATCTGATTGTGCTTGAATTCGTTGATAAGTATCGGACATCATTGCAATTAATAGGTTGATCAATACCTGGTGTTCATTCATACTTTGAAAAATTTTCGAAATTTTAGGTTAATAAAACTAGGAACTGTTGAAAAATAAAATAACTAACAATTAATGTGACAAGAAGATATATTCCAAATAGAAGTTTGAGAATAATTTTTGCAAAATTAGGTACGAGGTGCAAAGGTGGCATTGTGTCTGGTTCAACTAAACCGAACAGCGAAAAAAATAACATCTCTAAAGTTTGCTCCGGTGAAGCCAATCTCATCAATTCTGCACTATCTTCATCAGTGGGTTTATACGCTGGCTGAAAAAAAAAAAAAATTAAGGTATGTTATATTCAACACTAATAATTATTAATAGTTCCAACGAGCAAAAGCATATTTCGTGAAGATAAGGATTTACCTGAAAGATTGATGTGACATGAAGAGTAAATCCAGCGATAAAAAGCATAAGGATAACCAAAAATCTGTAAAATATATGACTAGCGCAATACTGAAAAAATTTTATGCTTCATATATTTGTAATTCATGATGCTTTTTTGTTAAGTGGATGGTGTATGGTTAACGCACCATTTATAGTTAAGTTCGCTCCACGGGCTCTTATGATGGGACACTTTCGCCAAACACCCATTTGTGATAACAGATAAAGGTGCAGATGGACCCCACTACCATCTTTATTATTCTTTATTTCCGCCAAGAGCGAATTATAATGCTCGAAATGACAATCAAGATAATTCCATGTTTTCACTAATGAATCAACAGTCCACGAAGAAAATATGTCATTAAAAAAAAATTTCCCAAGCAAATTATCGAAGGGAAAAAGTGATTTGAATGATCTTTACACCATAGTCGGCCATAGTCGATTGTCGTCGAATGGCGAAGGAATTAAATTAGTGCGTGCCATCTGCGACACAGTTCTTTCCTCTAGGCAAGAACATTAAGTTAACAGGAATGAGGATCACAATTTAAACAAGTCGCTTCACATTTAAGCAGGAGCTTAAAATGCCTAATTAGATATATATGCATCAAAAACGTCAATCTGAGAAAGTAAAAAGTAAAGAATGCAAGAAAATAAAATCCCAAGCTGCCACTATTTGTCATTTCAGGATCGTGGATGGAACGACAATAGGAGCGTGGAAGCGAGAGAATGGGAAGGGAAAAGGAAAGAAAAGGAAGCCAGTGAAACGATTTGGGGATGTTTGGGAGTAATGACGCTATTGCGTTCATTTACATTTTCCTTCCCCATCTTATCGCTATTTGCACTTGCTGCACAGCCATTATTCATTACTTTTATTATTACCTTATTATTATTACTATACTATTATTAATTATTATTACTATACTATTATTATTAATTATTGTTATTAATTAATATTATTTATTATTATCATTAAATATATAAAATGGGGTAGATTCCCCGCAGGAATAAACCTGTCTAAAAATCCTGGTGATGCTTGCAACTCACCTGTATTCCTATCGCCAAAGGACTCCCTGGCATATTTGTCCAGTGCGACAAGCCAGCGGAGCGAGTTTAACCAATAATGGTGAAAACTCTTAAAAAAAAATATATATATATATGTACTGAACCAGTCTGTTTATAGTGTTGTCTTATGTATTATATATTATATATATTATGTATTATTATTCATCAACAAAGGCACAAGTTTGAGGTCCTTTGAACTGCTATTCTCGAATAACTTGTAGGGAATTATTTAAAAAAGGGAATGCCTAGCCAGTATTTAAATATAAATATCCGTGCTGTAAGCAGAATATACACTTGAATACGAAGGGAACGAATCTTCGGAATTGATGGTGAAGAATTTGGATTAATATAAACCAACTACCTAGTGAGGTCGTACATAAGGTCTCTGATAATAATTGCCCATGGACCGAAGAGGTGGTGTACGGTTAAGAAATCCAGAAATTCAACGAATGCAAATAGCAGTGCAAATGCGAATAGCTGGTTCTTTAAATACAGCATTGTCCTCGCAAAATGTAGTTTTTCATCGTTATCAAGATGTTGCATAAACAGCACAGGTAATGTGAATGCAAGTACATGCACTGCTATTGCAGCAGCACTCAAGACGAGTATCAGTACCTAAAAAGCAATTATATCCATAAAATAAATTTATTTATCTAATAAAGTTGGCTAGCTCCACTAGGATGAAAATAATTTGTCAGGGAGCACAGATGATCGCAACTCTGGTTTTACTTTTCAGTGATAAGTGGCACAAAACTATTTGATAATTTTATTAACAAATTTTATTTACTTGTTTTATCTCTGCATTTTAAAATTTCGAACCTTTACAATACCTAATCCTGATCCTCCTCCAATATTTGATAGCTCCGAAACAAGATTTCCAGACAACCACAAAAGGAGAATCCATTCAACAGGTTTAGGTATTATACTTGTCACCTCATATATCTTGTGTGAGATATTGAGGACGACTATAGTTAACAGTACAGTAAAATACACATGCGACACTGTAAATAACTATTTTAAGAGGATTCAATCTTCACAGTATATTTGTCAGTGGTACTAGCGTTATAAAGATCTTTAATTACTAATTTACATTAGAAAAAAAACCAAAATAATCTATTTATATTAGTATACAAAAAGAAAATACTAGACGTATTCACAAGTCAGAGATATGAACTAATCCTAAAAAGAAATTGCCAACAATTGCTTATGTCTACATATTTTCTGGTAAATACCAAAAGATTCCAATTTAGATTGTTATAAGAATAACTGAAAAACAAGAGATATTTCATCTATACGAATAAGATATGGAATGAAAGGTAGAAACTTACCTATATGACAAACAAATTTGATGATTGGAGCTCGACCAATGCGAGTATCCAGTGGCAATGAAAAATAGAACCATGCAGGGGGACAAACGAGTACAAGTAAAGCAAATGCTACTGTTTTACCAAATGACCAATCAACTCGACCCGTCCAAATCTCGGTCAAATATCGCTGCACCGAAGCATATGATACCACTTCCTTCTACATTTTTCATTAAATTATTATCAAATCGAATTTAAACCGAAATTTCTAAGGATCAGCTTAAGGATCAATGTGAAATTAAATGGAAAATAGAAGTGATAGATGAAAAAGGCAATGAATTTGGGAACCTGATAAATGAAAATTTTTTTGATTTTGTTATTAGAGGATGGCCCCTCATTGTAGCTTTCTTTGCCAAGTATTTTCGACGCGAAGTGCTACAAAACTTACTTTCACAGAAGATTATAAATGGAAAAAAATGAGGACTGGAAATTCGACCTGCTCATTTTCGATAAGAACATCCAGCAATGGCCGTCCACGATTATCCTTTGCCTTTAACAATAGGGCAGCATTATATTCGCTTGCAGCAATACTTAATAATTCAACAGCCATTCCTTCAGCGAATTCAGATACATTTGACAGATCTCGAGCTCTTTCCTAATATTTTTCATTTATACCAATCGATGAAGATTGTAGACAATTTAAAACAATTTTTACCAATAAACGTTTTTTTTTATTCATAAAATTCAAAAAACAAGGAAGAAAAATTTTTTAAAATGATAAAGATATTATAAGGGAGAAATTTTCATAATTTAACAGTTAGCGCTCAAATTTTCATGATCAAAAGCGTATTTAAATATCGAAATAACAAGCTGCATTAAAATGCCTTTGCTTTCGATTCGATCAACAAGGCAGCACTCTGGTAAGTCATGCAACACAGTTCCAGGAAAGATAATTAAACTTTTAAAGTATTTTATCGAATGCATATCAGGTGGGAAACATTTTAGGGGCCATTTTATGTCAGGGTTACAGTTTTCAGCTATGCGATAGATTACGGTTATCAACGGTTGTCGATGTCAAAAGGAGTACAAATTATTCTAGAGCATAGTTACGGATTATGGATTTTAAATATAATTAACAATGTCGTCATTTCCGCTTCTTTTTAGAACTGCAACGGATACAGATAGATAGTAGCAACAAAAAGTGGCCTTCAATCAATCAAATCAATGAAAAAAAGAAACTCTTTTCGCTTTAAATACCTGATGCTGATAAGATTGCAATTTGTAAAAAATTCGTAAACGCTAAGAAGTTGCCTACAAGAAGCACTAACCTATTCACTCGCTAACTGCTAAATTCTATGATAGATGGCGTCAAAAGCCAGGAGAGATCAATCCTGATATAGTCAAGAGAGATTTTTAAGGCATAGGCACCCAATGATATACATGGACTTAGACGATTAAAAAAGGAATAGTTCCATCTACTTTCAGGATTGGCACCGGATTGAGAGGTTTCGAAATGCTGTGAATCAAATCAGCAATGGTATAAACTGCTAGAAGAACAGGAAAGTTAACACAAATCATTTCTTGTTAAACTGAGCGATTAGTATGGTTGGAAATTTTTGAGTCATTTGGTGATGGAACTACAAATGAAAGTAAAGTACAAGTGGATTTGCGGCACCTTCCGGATTTTTCAATGATATTTACTCCTCTCAGCCAGAAGCATGTAGCTTGCCTTTCAACACGACAATATGAGCCAAAAACATAATTAAAATCAGATTTAAAATTAGAAACCTTTTCTTTCTCACTCATTTCCCTGTATAATGAAGATAACTTTACAGCAGTATCGATAGGAGCTGGACTTTGCAAGATGAACTCCTTTAAAGGTTCATTTTCATTCGTTTTCCCACATACCATTAGGTCGAAAATGAACTAAAATTAGAAATAATAGGAAAAATGCGCAAAAAATCAGCCTTATTTGTGATTTCGTTATTTGCTTTGATAATATAAATCAAGAGCAGCAATTAACTAGATTATTAAGGATAGAAAATTAATGCAAGAGGAGCATTTGCATGAAAATTCATAAAATTCATCTAAATAAAGCCAAAGGTCAAATCCTTCCTTGGATAAAATATTAACGGAAATATCCAGTAATTCAATTCAATATTCAAAAGGAAATTATCGAAGATGCACATTTAGCCTTTTTTCCAGCTTAATTCCAGATTTATGATTCCATTCTAACAAAGTTGATGTTTAAATTTAAATATCGAGTTGAATAAAGTGGCTAAGATCGATGGAAATGGATAAACCTTTCTGTCTTCCATGAGTGCATGAGTGTCATGGTTTTGCTTCAACAAAAAACGCAAACAATCAACATGATTATGAGCAGCAGCAAAACACAATGGAATCTAAAAATTAATCACATTTCTATTCGAGTTCAACATGCACAACGGATTCATCCGTTCCTCTTTGTTGGAGTAAACTTGTTAATGAAATCTGAATATGATCGGCTTCTATTCTCAAATAATTCTCTGGCGAAAATAATTCAGCAATAATCGACAGAGTCAGCCAAGCCAATAACAGTGAATGCTATTACCGAAAGAAGCAAATTAAGCCAAGAAAGAAGCTGATTTAATAAATTAAGGAACTGCGTCAACTAATAAATAGGTTTAAAATATTTACATTCAATAAAATTTAATTGAACTAACAAAAAATATGAAGACGAGGAACGGAATATGGCAATTAATTAAATTAAATATGTAATTATTTTAATGAACAAATGAGACAAATTGGTTACTTTTCCTTCTTTTGTTTCAGCTTGTGCATCTGCTGAGCTTTTCACGAACAATTTTACAACATTTATGTGTCCAGCTTTAGTTGCGTAATGCATTCCAGTCCAACCGTTCTAAAAAACATCAGTTAATAAAAAAAATATTCCAATCTACAACAAATAATATTAAATAGTTTGCTCATATTTTCATCAAGTACGGCCAGCAAAGCCATGTGTTTATGTATCTCTTCGAAATAGGAAACAAAAGACAAAAAGACACACATATAAAACACTTTTGACACCAAAGATACCTTTCATATAAATTTCATACCGGTGGACCATGGAGTTTTGTGATGAAGTGATGAATGAGATTTTACCTGATCCATGACGTTAATATTCGAACCTTGAGCAATAAGTAATGAAACCATTTCATAATGTCCATTCATAGCTGCAAGATGCAGTGGAGTACGACCTCTCCAATCTTTAGCATGTTGTTGCTGAGTAGATCTTGATAGTAACATACCAACGACAGCAATGTGTCCTTGTTGGGCTGCCAAGTGCAAAGGAATCACGCTCTAGAATTCCAAAGCATAAAATAATATAAATGATCATTACAGTAAAAATCAACGAAAATAAAATGAAAGCCTTTTTGTTTTATATAATAGACGCTGATAAAATATCAATTTATCATGGCTTAAGGAAGTGCCAGATTTAAAATATCTTGGATCCACTCATATGGCCAAACGAAAGACAAAAATGCAATCCGAAAAATTGCAGTTAGAAAACGTTCTTCTGTTCTTTATGGAATCACTGCGAAATCACAATCAAAATGAAAATTTGCATTTATCTGGCTGCAGTTAATGTGATCTTATTTATGCATGAAATATGGTCCATAAAAATAGAAAATATTGAGAAGCTATCTATCTCTACTCTTATCTAAGGCACATTTAAGGCGCATTACCGAGTGGACAAAAAATAGCTGCATCCACTTTCGTTCAAATGCCATTTGCATTAAAACAATATCGTTATAGAGCATCGCCTATGCTAGATAAGGTGTGCGTCATGTTTTTCATAGGAATTGGAGTATATCTTACCGCTTGCAATCTTCTGATGGTGAAAGGCGAGGAGCAAATGGTATTAGAGAAACAAATCAAGATCAATCATCTAACTTGATAATGAAAAGATTTTTATAGAGTCATATTATATAGAGTCAGCGATGTATGGAATTGGTAAAAAGAAATGGATTTCTATTACTATTAGGTATGGCACCAGTTAAGCGGCTAGGGAAACATTATATGTTTGGATTTTGGAACCCGATGCTGAGATTCTACCTCCTCAGGAGTAAACTTGCCCAAAAATCTGGGTGATGTTAACGACTCATCTGTACTTCTATCGCCAAGGGGACTTTGTGACCTATTTATCCAGTGCAACAAGAAAGCGAAGCGAGTCTAACCAGAAATAATGAGGGCTCAAAAAAAAAGATCGGTGGCAAGTGGTGTCGGTCTGAGCAATAATGCTGAGAACTTTAGAAGAAAAAATGATCATTACTAAGAATTTAGTGCTATTATAGGAAGTACCATAGTTGTAGAGGTAGCGTCGACTTGAACTCCTTGATTTAAAAGCATACGCACGAGAGAATCATGGCCTGATTGAGCAGCCAAATGTAATGGTGTAAATCCATACTAAAAAATTGATAAGAATTATTAAAATATTATAAATAAAGATAAATCATCTGGAAATTTCTTACATAAATCGCTGAATATCTTCCGATTACTTTTTCCACATTTCATATTCTGAGGAAGAAAATCTTACTTCAGTAGCGAATTCTTTCACAACATGATGATTATATATAGGTGGCTCGGATCTTGAACTTGCTGGAACTTGTTTCAACATTTCATTAACGAAATCCGAATTCCCATAATATGCAGCGATATGAAGCGCATTCAATCCAGTCTAAATATATTTTAGTGTACCTTTAAATAAGAAGGAAAAAATAACGACAAATAACGGCACTTGCCCATGAATATTTTAAAAGTAACATGATTTCTCTTTTCTATATGGAATTTTAAAGCCAGCTTTACGTCCTCTAGCGATTTATTTCAAATCAAGGAGAAACCTGATTTTAGCTCTATCACCAATTATAACTATTTGAAATCTCTTTTAAAAAGAAAGAAGAATTTTTGACTAATTTCTTCAATTCTGATTGGATTCTTTTGATAAGAGTTATTCTATCCTTATTCTACTAATAGCATTCTCTATTTCTGGCTTAGCTGGTTCTGCTAACCATCGGAATGAGAAATCTCCACGAGTGAGTCATTTATAGGATAGAAATACAGATGGACCCAATAGCAACATTCGGTTTTGATAGGAATCGAATTATTTAAGATTCTTATTTTGCACGAAATAGAATCTAAAAATAAAAACTAACTTTTCGTGAGCATTTCTTCCATAGTGCCTTATCGAAAACTTCCAAAATAGAAACAAATCCATTTTTTGCTCCAAGATGTAAAGCTGTCATTCCATGCTTTAAATAAAACATGAGAGTGATGTTTAAATTTGAACTATCGCAAACAATACGATAAAGAATCGAAATTATATCTATCGAATTAAAGATAATTCATTAGATAACAGGCTATTCAGCACAATCATGTATAATTTTAAATAATAACTGCATTTTCATCCTCAGCATTTGCTCCATTTTCCAATAATATCTTTACAATTTTTGCATGCCCTCCGGCAGCAGCCATATGCAGGGTTGTAGCTTCCATCGTTTTTGTTTTAGCCTGAAATTAATTCCACTAACTATTTAGACTCACGTTACCTGTTATGTTTAAACTCAGTCGGAGATCCCTTTTGTTTTTTGCTCTATGGAGAAATAAATTTTAAAATGTCAACTCATTTTTTTCGAAGTTATAAAGCATTTAGATTAAATGTCATCGAGATGATAAGTTATTATTTATATCTAAGTATTATATTTTAATATTTATTATTTATTTATATCCAAGTTAACAATTGCCTGAATAACCATAGCTTTATCAATCATCATAAGCTCTTTAACGACGCCTAATGAACCTTTCATTGCAGCAATATGTGCACATGTGAAGCCATTATGATCGATTGCCGTAAGAACTCCTCGATTATTTTGCTTCATTTTCAGAAATAATTTGACGACATCCGGATAATCATTCTAGAATTACAATGCATTTTTTATCGCAAAAATGGAAAAATGGAAAAAGCCTGTATGACCGTTTATTTTGATACAAATTATGTTGATTTACAAGTCACTGTGCCGAAAATAACTGCCAATGTTGAAAAGCGAAATTTAATTTTTTCTGAACCTGAACCTGAATCAGATGTTAATTTTTAGCCACTAATAAATAGCAAAGAGTAAATTTTATAGAATGACATTTATTGATTTTAAATGGCAAACCTCAGCTGCAAGATGAAGGGGAGTTTGCCCCTTATCATCTCTTGCATTTGCATTTGCACCTAATGCAAGTAAAGTCTGCGCGACTGCAAGTTGTCCATGGCGTGCAGCATAATGGAGAGCAGTCTGATTATCCAGTGTGATTGCTTCAAGTGCTGCACCATGATCCTGTACCAACAAATTTACGACTTTTACATGGCCATTTTGTGCAGCCAAATGCAAAGGCGCTTCTCCCAATTTTGATTTGCTTAAATGTTAATATCACCCTTATTACTGTAAGAAAATTGCCAAGATAAATTGAAAATTGGACTATATATTAATAATGATTAAGTTTTGTTATATGAAACTTAACTACAATTGTTTAGATCATCTGCATGATTTCGACGGAAATTTTGAATTCGTCAATATGGTCTCCTTTCTCCTCCTTTTTTTATGCTTGCCAGTTCTGGTCTGGCTGGACCTATTGGTTACTATATTGAGAACCAGAGAACCATTTGACAGGAACATGATTTCATTTTTAATGTTATATTGTAATAGAAATTTAAGAGCTCACAATGAATTTAGCCAGAAAAAAACATTATTTGGTCGTGGCTTGTCAGAAAGTTCTAAAATAAAAAGAAGAAAAAATACAACACAATTTTTCAACCTGTTAACAAAAGCTTTATTCTGTAAAAGTAAATGGGTGAGCTCAAGATGGCCATTCGCAGCAGCTAAATGTAAGGCAGTACGACCATTCTCATCAAATACATCAATACGTGCATGATGCTGTAAAAGGATGCGTGCAACTCCTTGATGCCCACGATCACAAGCTTCAAGTAAAGGTGACCAACCATTCTAAAAATTTTTTAAATTATGTCGTGAAACGGCGAAAGCAAAAGGTTACTTAGAGTCATAAAAGTGAAAAATAGATTTGAATCAGCATTTGCCTTGGCAGGGATTCTCATGAGTTCACAGTGGTGCGTTGGCAATGAAGAATCGAATGGCTCAGTGAGTTGTTATTCAATTCGTAGAACCCGACGCTGAGATTCTACCCCTCAGGAGTAAACCTGCCCAAAAATCTGGGTGATGTTAACGACTCATCTGTACTTCTATCGCCAAGGGGACTTTGTGACCCATTTATCCAGTGCAACAAGAAAGCGAAGCGAGTCTAACCAGAAATAATGAGGGCTCAAAAAAAAAGATCGGTGGCAATATTGTAGCAATCTACGGGTTCGAATCGGCTAGTGCATCACGCTTTCGTCAATTGACAGTGTCGCCAAACCGCGAAAATAAAAAGGCTATTATGGGATCGTAAAAATATATTACAATTATTGACAATTGTTACTTCTATTTTTGTTATCTTATATTTTTAATAATACTATTGTTGACAGAAAATTTAATAATTGTAACTTGTGACTTTCTTTCCATGATTATTTAAAGAAATTTATTAAACTAATCTAAAATTTATTAATTAAAATTAATTATTTTCTATTTTTTAAATTTTAAAATTAATTAATTTTTTAATTAATTTTTAAAATTTAATTAATTAATTAAATTTATTAATTAAAATTAAAATTTATTTTTAATTAAAATTAATTTATTGATATAAATTATTTAATATTAATATTATAAAATATGGAAAAAATGATCGAGTGGGATGATTTAACCTGCAACGAGCAGGTTAAATCATTCCTGAATCTGAAGAATTAAACCTACCATTAAAAATCTGATGGTGGCGATCCAGCTGTACTTCTTTAGTCTAGAGATTCTCTTAAACAAATTTCTAAGCCTAGCTAGCCAAACTAGAAATGGTGAATGCTAACTCTTCAACATATAAAAATACCACTGATGATCAACACGACAATAGTTCTCACATTTAAAAATTTCATTTTCCATGAACAAAAAATTCAACATTTTTCTCCATCTGAGAATGTAATGGGAATCAACAAAGAGAATAATAATATTTAAACATGTGCACTGAAGTAAAAAATCAACCTTTGATTGCTTGTTTTGAACAATTTGTACAGCTCCAGCTCCAATTTTTTCGACGACTGCCAGTAGCACAGCTTCATTACCCGACCGTGCGGCCAAGTGCATTGTCGTATCACCTGTCTTAAATTGTGAAAAAATATCTATCTGTTTCTTTTTTAGTTTTTCTTATTCAAACTGTTATTGAAAAATAGTTAAATAGGTTAATTTTCCAAGCTTTACCGAAAGAGTTTGCAGTTCAGGTTTTCCACCATAATCAATCAATGTATTGATTAATTTTGCAGCATCTTCCGGCGATTTTAACTGGTCAGGGCTCACTTCAGCTGCGTAATGAACTGCAGTTAGTCCATTCTGAAATTAAATATTCATCTCCTAAACTTGTGGTTTTGGAGCATCCATTATGATAAGTGATGTTGTAAGCAGCGATTTCTATGGCAGATTATAATATTAAAAGACACTGAAACTAAAAACTAACTTTAAGAGTTCGAGCATTTACGAAATCCTCAATTTCTTGTCGCGGTAATATTTGTGATAGGTATTCCAACATTAATATCACTGCATTACTATTGCAACTTTGTGAAGCAACATGTAAAGCTGTTTCACCAGCCTAAACACTTGAATATTTATTTTTCCAATGTATCCAAGGAAATATTAGAATAAATTTAAAATTATTATTATTCACTTTTTAATTTCATCCCATATTTTTAGTACCTATTTCTTTTGTAGCTAATAACATTTTACTTTATCATATTACATTATCTTATAATTTATTAATTATTATTCATCATCTACGAATCGGATAAGTTTTTTTTTAAATTTTTTTTTCCATTTTATCATATCATCTCTAAATATCATCTCTTATCTTTTTTTAAATTTAATTTAATTAATTTAATTATCTCTATCCTTTGTCTTTGATAGGAGTAAATCTGTCATATTGTCAAAAATCCAAGTGCCTGCTGGCACCAGTATCTCTATCACCAAGTGACTCTACGATGAAAGGGTTAGGTCTCTTTGACGCGACGTCTGCGTCTCTCGATCCGCATGTTACTTCTGATCCAGTGGTACATGCGATGAATACAATCCGGGCGCTATATAATAATAAATAATAAAAGTCCAAGGCGCAAGCACAGAATTTGCTCGCGAACCGAAATAAGTATTCAAAATCCAAGGCGGTCAAGGGAGGCGGAAATCTATCCGTTAAGAATGCGCCAATGCGCCAATGAAGAATGCCTTCGTTTTGCTGAAGAGCATGAATTTTTTGTTGCTAATACATGCTTTCGGCATCAGAGGAAATATCTAGTCACGTGGAACTTTTAACCTCTCCGGACAACCAATATATTAATCAGACACCGCTGGAAGAGTTCTATATAATAGTCGTTATTATCGGGGCGCTGAAACTGTTAACCGCCATGGATCAGATCATGTTATGGTTCGAGCCAAGATTCGTATAAAACTGGCAAATCGTATCCCAAGATCTTTTAACTATTTCAAATCAACTATCTTGAAAGATCAGGGAACGATAAGCGTATTTCAAACCGCATTATTGAAACACCTCAGTGAAATGAATATCAATGACATCTCTTGAACGAATATTGGTCCCAACTAAAGATATGCCTACAAAAGTCTACAAAAGTCAGCCACTTCCACATTAGGGTATAGTAGTAGGAAGTGGGTGTGGGTGTAACTGTCCAACTGTCTGAAAAAGCTGCCAAAGTTTGAATATCAGAAGATCCTGACTATCGGGTGCCTCGAAGAATTACAACGCAGCACGGTGGGACTATTAGAGCGATATGGCCTTGAGAATGGAGTCAGCGGCTCGGATAATAGGAAACTGCTTCGCCCTCTCCGCAAAGCAACTATAACTCGAGAAGGGATCAGTGAAATGATACGGAATATTAATGGGGTGCCTATTAGAGCAGCCAAGAATCGCCTTAGAAGATGGAAAGAATTTTTTGAGGCCAAACTTAACCACGACGCACCATCTATTGTGCCGAATATAACTGATTTGCCCGTCGAGCATTACGTTTGCAATTGTGAGCCACCAACAGAAGAGGAAATACTCATTGTAATCGATAAGCTTAAGGGTAATAAGAATCTCGATGGTCTTCAGGCCGAACTCATCAAATGTTCATAACTCGTTAATAACTTACCTTCAACAAATGTATTCTCTAGTGTGGCAAAAAAAAATAATACCAGAAGACTGGAGCAGAGCAATTATTCTTCCTGAGGAAGGTGATAGGACGTACTGCGACAATTACCGAGGAATCAGCCTACTGGACATCTCCAAAAAAATTTTCGCTTCCCTTTTATTAAATAGACTCATGACAGCACCAGACAGCAGAATACGACCTAACCAAGCTGGATTCAAACCTGGATGCGACTGACCAGATATTTATCGATTTTGCAGCTGCTTTCGATTCGATTGATAGAGCAGCGCTCTGGAAAATAATGGAATGTGACGGTGTTCCAGAGAAGATCATCCGACTCATAAAGGCATTTTATTAGCATACCCTGGCATATGTCTGTGTATAGGGGAACTGGCAGACTCCTTTGAAATAAAAACTGGTGTCCGTCAGGGCTGCGTCCTTTCCTCCCACAATATTCAACTATGCGATAAACTGGATAATGGGGATCGCTTATCGGCATTCAAGAGATGTGCAAATCAGCCCAGAACATACATCACAGACCTAAAATATGTTGATGATGTAGTCCTTTTTGCTGACAGTTATGAGGAAACACAGATAATATTAAACAATGTGTCAACAACTGCAACGAGATTTGGACTCAAAATCAATGTAAATAAAACGAAAATATTTTCGTCTTATATACAAGATGCTGATAAAATACCTATTTTTATCAATTCACTGCCGGTTGAGAAAGTGCTGTAATTTAAATATCTTGGTCCACTCTAATCCCAAAAGGCCAGATAAAGAATGAAGTCGTAACCCGGATAACGGCAGATAGAATCATGTTTTTCCGGTTGATGAAATCTTTATGGAACGTCGCGAAATCACCATAATCCGCATTCATATAGCTGCAATTCGTTCAATCTTGTTATATGGCTGCGAAACATGGCCAATGAGAGTGGAAGGTATTAAGAAGCCTTTGACCACTCATGTTAAGTTACATTCTACGGATCCGCTGAACAGGTAAAATCGCACATGATTGTATCCACCTTCGCTCAAATACCACCTGCATCAATAATGTTATCACAGAGCGTCGCTTTCGCTGTTAGGGCACGTTTTCTGTCGTCCACTACAGGAGTTGACGCACATTTCATTACTTAACCCTGTGATGGTTGGCGTCAAAAGCGAGGTGGGCCAATCAAGACCTGGACTAATACAGTCAGAAAAAATTTTGAACGTATAGGGGGACCAACGATATATGGACCTAGACGATGGAAAAAGGAATGGCTCCTAATACTACTAACAATGGCGTCAGACCGGGCAGCTTGGAGATGTCTCTAACCAGCGGAACCAGCCTAACCAGTATACTGTTAGAAGAGAGCTATAGTGTTAGAAGAAGGACATTTTGATTTATTTCATATTTCTTCTTCGTTTCGAGTACATATACAAGTGTGTGGCTTTGATCTCTCTGCTTAGTTATCTATTTATTTTTGCAATAAATGAAAATATTCTACCAGGAGTAGTAACAAGTAAGTGGTTAGCAGTCATCATTTCTGGTTAGGCTCGTTCTATTGACTATTAATAAGATGAACTGACTATTAATAAGATGAAACTATTTTGCCAGAGCATCAGAAGGAAATAGAAGTTTACGTCTACATCACGTCTACGTCTATATCACTTGAAAAAAAATTTTTTTTGCTTTTATAATAGTCGATATGATAATCTAATTATCAGCTACTTTGCTACTCCGTCCCATCGTTAGTAACGAATATTCAGTTGAATTAAAACTAAATGTTCATGTGCTAATTGTTTGTTAATATTTACTGAGTTCATCAACGCCTATCAGAAATGAAATTGAGCGAATAAAAAAACATAGAGTATTTATCAAATGATAAATTAGCCAGCACAACACTTCATTAAAATTAAATTCTCAGACAATTTATAATATTTATGATATTTGTATATAACTTCCAAATGAACTCGAAGAAAAACATTTTAAAAAACTGCTACAATTATTACATGGAAAGCCAAATCTCTAACTTTTTAAGCTTTTTAAAAACTGTAATATAAATAAATACACAATACTTAAAGATGTTCAAAGAAATTTTTGTTCTTATTTTTATATTATTCTTTCATCAATTATTTCTGGTTCTGGCTTTATTATTTTCGGAAAATATCACTTATATATCATATTGAAAGAAATATATTTTAGTTTAGTTCTCTATTTTCTTCTTACAATTGATAAAGACCTTCCAAAATTATTAAAAAATTTTCCCGCAACACCGATTTGTCAATAATTCGATTGATTGCTGTCAAATATATACCTCCAAATTTAAAGATCCATTTTAATTGGAAATTTGTTTGGTAACGTTTACCTGAGAAGTGATTCGCGGATCAGCGCCCTCCATGAGCAAAACCCTAGTCATTTCAAATAATGGATTTCGTGCAGCAATGTGCAGTGCTGTTTCACCGTCATTTCTTGCAATATTGGGCAGTGCACCGCTTTTCAGTAACATTTGTGCACATTCAATGGCATCTTCAACGTCTAAGGATGCAGCAATATGTAGAGCAGTTTCTCCTAAAGATCCACCATTAAGATGCACATCAGCACCAAATCCTAATAATGTTTCTACAACAGAAGCTCTTCCATATTGTACGGCAACATGTAAAGCCGTAAAATTATCCTGAAAAATGATAAATCCATTTAAAAACCAATAATAAAAATTTAAATGATCCACCGAATCTCAACACTCTATCCCAAATTTTCCTAAATTTCCTAAAAAAATTAATGACAAATAATAAATTGAAAAAACCTTCGTCCGAATATCCACATTTGTACCACGTAAAATCAGCACTCGTACGACATCAGTGAAACCAGCTGCTGCTGCAGAATGCAAACCCAAAGCGCCTATAGATTAATTGAATTCATTGAATTATTAAACTTCTTAAATCAATTAATTTATTTGAAAAGCTTACAAGTATAATATAAGCAGATTTTTATAACCTGGTAGAGGTTATTTTGTCGTTAAAAAGCCATTAAAAAATAGGGATAAGATTCAACCTGAAGGACCACTTTTACTTCTATCTCCGAGTCATTCTTTACCAAAATTGCCTAGCAACAATCAATGGAACGACTCCAACCAGAAATGTTAAATGCTAACCATTTACTTAAATTCTCTATTCTTTATAAATATTTTCAATATAATTAAATTATGAAATATTAAAAATAAAATTCAAAATTGGAGACTATAAAACTGAAAGCGACTAAGAAAATAGTGTAAAAATAAAGACTATAAAAAATTTTATTCATGAAAAATGTGATTTTTGTAGTTTAAATTTTCAAACATAAAAAAATTTTACATTTATAAAATTTTTATTTATAAAATTTTTCGCTTAAATCAAACAGCCAGCAGATTTCTTTGTTCTTTTTAATGATAAGTACAATTTATTTGTAAATTATTATATTTATATACAATTACGAAATTCAAAACTCCAAAGTTTCAATTTTTTATTTCACAATTTTGTTTATTTCACAAAAAACATTGTTTATTTTGATGAAACTAATTTTGCCGCTAGAAAAAGTATCTGATATTATCTCACAGAGGCAAAAAAGAAATCTAAAATGAACCTGTTTTATTGGGCATATATAGGGGCACACCACGCTTTAGGAATGCCAAAGCTGTATCTGCATGACCACTAAGAGCTGCAACATGCAGCAATGTACTACCATCTTGCGTACGTGCTCGTACTGAACTCCCAAATTTATCGACAAGTGTCTCGACGATTTTCGTATGGCCGCGTTCTGCAGCAATATGTAAAGCCGTACGTTCCTCCTTAAAAAATATCGTTTTATGAAACATGAAATTGAAAATTAAAAAGGATAGAGTGGTCAAGTTCCTTTGTTGGTTACGTCCAGCTTAAGCAAACGAAGGCCCCTAAACAAAAGTAAAGTCAAAATCCAAGAGGTTTCTGGCTTTCCAAGTAACCCTCTGGTGGAAGAGTTCACTCTCTTGTATGTCAGCTAAAGATCGATTTTGTCAAGCAATTGTAATTAATCGCGCTATGAATTTTAATTCAGATTGTGAGATATTTCTGATTCTTTTTGACTTAAAATAACCAGAAAACTAACATTATCAATAATATTAGCGTCTGCTTTGAGTCGAAATAATTGCTTTAATAAAACTTCATTACCATTATAGGCAACTTCATGTAAAGGAGTCCAGCCTTTCGCATTTTTATCATTTACATTCACTCCACCAACTTCAGTTATCATTTTAAGAGCTGTTTCATTTCCCACTCTGCATGCCAAATGCAATAACGTATCTCCATTCTCATCAGTCTTCAAATAAAAATCAAATTTCTCAATGAGAAAAATCTATGCATTTAGAAGAGAAGCTGTTATATCTAAATGATTAGACCACTTGAGCTGTTAAATTGACTAGAACCAACTTCTTGTCTACGAATTATAGAAGTGAAGCGAATCAAAAAATTACATGCTTGATTTGTTGAATACCATTTTCGCTTAAAAGAATCTTTATAACTGGAATGTTACCAGTGAGAACTGCGTAATTAATCGGTAGATATTTATGTAGATCTTCGGTCAAGCGTGAATCAAGCTTTTGCAATAAAAACGTAACAATACGTGCTACACGAGCAGATGAACGAGTGCACGCATAATGCAACGGTAACTGACCTCGAGGCTAAACTATCAAGATTATTGATTGAAATTAAGGTTTAACCAACAGTATTTGATAAGACTAGAGGGGCTTACTCCAGCTGGAAATCCGAAATCATAACCGCTATTAATTGCAACTCTCACCATATCTTCATTACCATACATTGCTGCGATGTGTGCTGCTGTACGCTGATCCTAAGTATTATAAATCCTCATTGAAAAATTCGACGCTTAACAATTTGAGTTTGATTTTATTAAAATTAAATTAGAAATTCAAACAAAACCGTGTTATAATTAATTCATTTAAATTATTTGTTTCTTCTACTTTTTACTAATTTTTGAGAACTTCAATTTTTTTTAACTTCCGAAAAAAGTGGTCTAAAGTAACGTTTTCACGTATTTTCGTGCATAGACAAGCATAGCAGAGTGGCCGAGTGGTAATAATTCAGATCATCGTGTTGAAAATTAGTAGTTCAGTTGTCAGACAGGAATAGATCTGACATTACACAACCCGAGTGCTGTTGGCCTGCACTTATATCGCCAGTTGATTCTTGACAAAAATTTCTAATCGCACTATTAACCAGCTGATCTAGCCAGCTAAACGATTATCGTTAACCACTTACTATTGTATTATACTAAATTACCATTCAACGTAAAGTTTTCAATTTAGCTCGAACTAAAAAAACAGTCTAACTTTAGTTTTGCAGGAAATGTCGATTCCTTTCGTGATACATTTATGAAAAATGTCGATTTTTGAATCCTTCACTGCGTATAAAAATACATTAAACCCATACTAAAAGCAGCAAAGTGTTGTTCAAAATAGATTATAGAAATTCAAGAAAATAAGCATTTCCCCTAATATTTCTGTGCTAATAGGCAAGATAGCGAGTCGAGTGGTTAATGGATAAGCTCATACAATCGAACTAATTATCCTTATCTCGAAATCACGCCATCATTATTGAAGTGAATAAGGCGAAATTAATCGAAAACTTACTTGATCAGTTGTAGAAATATTCGTAATTGATTCGTTATCGATAAGTTCATCAACGCTCACCCAATCAGATTTTTTAGCAAACTGTAGAATCTAAATTTATGATGAAATAATCAAAAGCTCATAAAAAATCACGAAAAAATAATATCAATAATATCATTCCCGTGGATCAATCAATTAAAATATGAAAAGAATCAAAAACCTTTGGAAGTGAAGTAACAACAATATCATTATCATCGTTATCACTGAATTCATTAGGTAAATCTTGAAATTGCTTTGCTCGAGCTTCATCAGAATGCTGAGATGATTGTTTAGCTCCAATTTCATCGATGTTTTGCGATGATTCTTCTGAGTTATGGATTTGTTTCATGTCAACGATACTTCGGTATGCTAAATCCATCATCGATTTCATAACCGAAGGCACTGATGGAGTATTAAGTCTTGATGATATTTGTGTGGTTGATTGTCGCCTAACACCAGCAAGAGATTTATTTTCTAAATCAGGATCATAGACATCTATTGCGCTTACTGAATTCGTTTCGCTTTGATCTCCTTCACTAGATTTTTTGAAAAGCCTCCTTATTCCAACCTGAGTTCCGCTTACTGCCTCAGCACCTTTCAGCCATTTTTTAAGAATTCCTTTAGATTTATCTTCATCATCTTTCTTAAACTGTACATCAGTCGTGCTTTGTAAATTCCCTTCCGTTGTTGATTTACGTAACCATTTCCCCAACATACCTCCCGCGTTATCTGGTCCCTCAGATTCAGCATGTTGATTTAAATCATTATCATTATCATTATCACCGACAGAACCTTTGAACCATTGGCCAATAACAGCTTTAGAATCGCTGTTCAATTCTTCACCTCTTAGCATTTTTCCAAATATTCCTTCGGGTTTATTGATGGCATCGGAATTGCCTTCAGGATTATCCATGCCATCAGAACTTATCGAAACGAATTTCATATCAGCTAATCCTTTTTGTACTCGTGCATGATTTGGATCATTTGCATCGGCAGTTTTCCGCCTTTCATTTCTTTCTTCGTCATTTAACCACTTACTCAATAAACCAGTTCTATTTCGGCGATTCACATCATCAATTAATTCTTTTTCAGGTTTTACAGTTTTTGTTCGCATAAATGTTGTTTCTTGCAGCCATTTACTCAGCAAACCTGTCCTATTTTCATTTGCATCTTCATCCAAATTAATATTTTGTGACAAACCACTATTTCTTATTCGATGCTCATCGCGTTCGACTTGAAAATCTGAATAATTAGAATTGGCTGCACGTAAGCGTTTCGCCGGAGTATTGCCATGGTATTCCCCCGATCCTGAATCCAGACCTGTTGATCGTAGGTCAAGCATTAAAGGTACTTCATCACGTGGCAGAAACCCATTTGGTATTCCATTTTCAATCGTTGTCGCTCGTTGGCGTAGAGCTGAAGCAACGATTCCAATTCCCTGCATTGGCAAATCGTCAGTTTTCAAATTTGAAAAAATTTCACCAGAATTTACTACCTCAGATTGTGCATTAATAATATTAGTTCGACTATAAGGCACAGCAATTCGATGAGCATTTGGCATATCGCTTGAATTTGAAGGACGTTGACCAAAATTCGAATCTGTATAAAACTGTCGATTTGACGAGTGTGCTCGACGAAATTCGTGTGAATAATGCGGAATTGCTTGTTGATTTATCGCGCAACTCCTATTAATCGGTGGTGGATTTAGCTGACCTCGTCTAATTGATGACAAATGTTGCTCGATCATTTCGTGAGCACTCGATGATCGAGGAGGCACTTCGTCACTGTCATTGGTGTTTGCATCCGCTACGACATTCGATGATTTTTTAAGCGAGTTCGCTAACATATTTCTGCTATCGTACGAGTAACATAGGTTTTTTCAGATTTTCAGTTGACTTTCTGTGATGAATAATCCAGTTTTCTGCGATGATGAGAAATTACTTAATAAAAAACGCAAGAAAAGTTTCTGGCGCATTCCCATTTGCATAATCCCAAAGAAACGGCTATAGACAAGGCAGACTCGTAAGCCAATATAAGTAACAAATGATTATGTCAAAATCTCAAATCGCCGAAAATCTTTACCATCCAATGTTTGCGAAATTTCGCAGCGTTGTTTAGCAACGAAAAATGAAGGTGGCCGGCCAATCAATTCCTCTATACCAATCTTTGAGTGCCAGCATATGCATATTTATAAATAGATTTATACAACATTTCTATAAACGAAACTTATAACCAATTAGAGAATTCACACACTTCTCGAGCACATTTCAGTGATTTCTTTCGACAAGGTTGCATATCTCTTAAAGAAAAACATACTCGAAATAAGAAATAAGAAATGCCATATTTTAGATAAATCCATTCATATAAAGCATAAGGATGAAATGCAAATGAATGTTTTTGCGAACGAATGAAAAACACTTCCAATCCCAAGTGAATCTTTAGCAAATCTTTACAGGTACCACTCAGCCATTTACCCAAACCAAAAACGGGTTGTTAGACACGAACTTTGATATAAAAGGACATATTTACATCAAATATCTCCGGAGAAACTTTTGAAAAGGTCGAAGATTAATGAAACGCAGGTAGAATTCATTTATCCAACTTATCCCATTCGCATGCTTTTTTTCTTGCGAATATCAGATTTTCAAGTAAATTCTAATTTCATTGCAAGCTGAAGGCTTCGGCATTACGTGTATGTTAATATTTGAAAAACTCATTTCCACAAAAATTTTTGAGTTAAATTTTCCGCACCAAATAATTTAAATAGACTTAGTTTCGGCAGAACTAGCACAGAAATCGAATAAAAAGGCAGAAACTCATATTGCATATCAATAAGATAGAAAAAAAATTGAGTTGAAAATAACCGAAATTATTTGCTGAAAGATTGATAGTTTCTTTCTTATGGCACAAAACAACGAAAGATAAGTTAAAAATGAAGTTAAACAAGCTTAGATCTGTCATTATTTATATTATCAAATACCGATAACAAACAAACAAAAAATCAGACACAATTAACTAAATGCAATACATTTGGAATAATACATAACTTGCATAATTATGATATTTCTTCAATGAAAAAAAATAGTATTGTACAAATATTAATCAAATCAAAAATTAAATCAAAAAAATCAGAAAAAATTCAAAGCAAAATTTGATAATTTAAACCAAATTTAACTAATAGACTGAATTTAATTTAAAAGCTTAAATATTATAAAATCCTTTATGAAATGAATTTCGGTATTTCTTGAATCACCTGAATAAAAATAAATAAGGTTTAAGATTTAAATAAGATCGGATCCGTTCAATGATCACTATCATTAAAAAATAAATAATTACAAAAAATCAGCTAAATTTGATAAAACAAAAAGAATATCTATACATCAAAAAATTTTAAAAACATGACCGTTATCGTAAAACAGTCCGCTATAAATATTTCATATTTTGAGAGCAAATAATTTGCAATTTAGAAAGAGCAGAAGGTTCAAGAGAACAGAGATCGAATGTTAATTTATTATCAGAAGAAATTCCAATTTCATTACGAAGATTATCACATGAAAAAAGAATGTGGACGATTTGATCCAACTTATTTGCATCAGTAATAAACATCAATTTTCGTTGTAGATCTAATAAGGTGGCTATTTCAGATTGTGTCTGCAAAAATTATCGAATTTCGTTCAATCCACTTCCAACTTAATAATAAAAGCAAAAAAAAGAAAAGAAAAATATAACTGGTATAGAATCCAAAATTAAATAAAATTAAAAAGAACACCAACCTTGGACTTTTTCAAAGATGGTTGCTCATTAAATATAGCAGATTTATAACATTTTTTACTTTCCTAAATATGGATAAATTTGCTTTCTTATCAAAATATCGTACCAATATCAATTCATAAAAAAATAAAGTATATTTATATACATATATATATATATATATATATATTAGGGCAGTGTTTTTATATTTAGAAAAAAAAATTTACTGGTGAACTATTATTTGAAGCCGATATTTTTTCAGCTTTTCGAGAATCTGAAAACAATGATTTGACTGGAATGTGCGCTGACGAGTTTGTATCACAAGTCTTAAACAAATTTCTCTAAAAATATTTCATACAGCACAAATAAATAAAATAAATAAACTGGCGTTTATTGAGAAAATTTATAAACAGTCGTAAAAGCTAGTTGATTTTAAACAGTGGAAGCATTAATGAACTCAAAAGTCCGAAGAAAATGGCAAAAAAATAAATATTTCGATTTGAAAGAAACATTAGTGAAAGAAATAATTCACTGTTTTGTTCATTCAATCATAAATATGCTAACACTCAACACTTTTTATACTCAAAAATACAAAAAAATATTTATTGGAAAAAATAACTGGAATATTATTTACTTACATCTCTTTCTTCTGTCACCTGTTTTCGCTTTTTATTCTCTCTTGATTTTAATTCTTTTTTACTCTTTTTCTGACGGTTTTCAGGAGTTAAGCCATGTTCTTCATTCGGCGATGATGGAAACGATTCATTTTCTTTCTTCACATTTTTTTTATCACTTTTTTCCTTTTTAATAAAACCACCATAGTTGATAATAAGATCGAAAAATGTTGCAGAAATTTGCTTCATTTCAACAATTTGCTCAACATGATGTTCAGAATACTTTTCTGAAAAGATAGAAACTATTTTAGATAAAAATTATGATTAAAATAACCAGAAAGTGATTTGAATATGCAATGATTTTTCCAAATATTTAAAGAATTAAACAATTAAACCATTTTGAAATTTTCCTAGCTTTTCTAAAATATAAAATATTGAACAACTTTAGCTTTTCCAATAAATTAAAAAACTTTGTGAATATTTTCAGTTGGATGTTGCCTATTCAAGAAATCAGCTGAGTGAATAAAGCACAGGCAAGGAATAAAGGAATAAAGTGGCTCAGTAGAATTACTCTCTTTCGAAGCGTTGATGTTTGAGGAAAGTAAATCTATCTAGGTTATTTTATTTTTATTTTATTTGTAGCAGGGATGAACCTGTTTTTCAAAAATACGGATGAGTTAGGCGACTTATCTATATTTTGATGACTCTTTGGCCAAATTTGCCTGGTCCCAGCAGAGGGAGTGAGCGCTCTTATATGAAAGAAAAATTTTTAGTAATAATAAATAATAATTGATTTGACAATTACCTAAGCAAAGATTCATATCATACACAAGTTTATAAACTTTTGAAGTTCCCGCAAATGATACAGAAACAGGGATCAGAAATCCAGCATAACCGGTTTCAGTAACTTCAAATGGAGGATTCTTGATCACACGGCGGCGATTCGGAAAATCCGGATGTAGTGTGAATACGACCTGTAAATTATTTGATTTAAACCGAAAAAAATATCACCAATCGAAACAAGAAATTTTGTTGCGCTGTCTATTCGCAGCCAAAGTACTTTTGAAAAACTAAAACAAAAGAAACGAGACATAAAAAAAAGATGATTTAAAATGATACTTCAGTCATGTGGCGAGCATGGATGAGAAGTCTTATATACGTTTCACTTTTTTCTTTCCTCTATTTCTTTTCCTGTATCACTTGTAATTTATTCCTTTAACATCCTTATCATCAACTTATTACTAAAAAAAAGATCTCTACAATTTCTACTGTCTTCGCCTAATCCTTCATCAACATCTTACAAATCATACCTTAATCATAACCTATGATCCTACATATCTCGTGATTCGATTATTTCAGCACCAAAAATAGAATATCTATTATCATACAAAAAAAATAAAAATGATCCGATATACTTTTCACTAATCGAAATAAAAAATTTTGTTGCGCTATCTATTCACAGCCCAGGTATTTTTGCAAAACTAAAACAAAAACCGATTATTGCAAGATGAGCATGCCATTTTACATTTAACAGAAATATTTTTAATAAATATATTAAATATAATATATATAAATATATTGTAAATAAATATAAATATATAGAAATATTATTCAAGAAAAGAAAAGAATAACCTCGAAAAGAATGTTTAAAATTTGCTGGAAATGTTATCTATTCATGTTAAAGGTGCTTGAAAACAAAAAAACTGGAAAACTGGGATATACAAATTAGCAAAAATTATGTAAGAAAGTTCACTTTAGTGACGCAACTCCTGTCGATGAATTGTTTCGGTCCAGCAGACCGAACAAAAACTGTCCAACGATGTGTATGGCCATCTGGCGTTGGCTCATCCAACATCTCCGACCTAAAAATTTTCCTTCTCCAATTTGAAATAAAAAATTAAATTCTACTCTTTTTATAAAAATTCTTCATTCAATTTGTTTCTAATTTGATTTCAACAAATTTGACTTTGTAAAAGTTTCACAGGTTTCACTTTGTAAAACATGAAAATCAGTGAAGAAGTCCAGTCGAAATGAAAAAAATGGAACCTGTGACCCAGTTTAATGCGAAACAGCGCTCTTTTACTCGTACTCATTTTTTACAAATGCATCTAAAAATCAAAAATATCTTAGAAGATTATGAATAAAAATTAGAAACAAATTAGAATTGCACCAAATAAACCATCAAATTATAATAAAAGAACCAATTGAAAAATGAAGCAATTTTCCCACAAAATTTTCGACTTATTTGATTCCCAAATTTTTAGAAATTCTTATGTCGAAAATTTTAAAAATAATATGGAAAACGGATAAGTAAAAGCAATAATTTCACCTAAATTATTGGTTGAGACAAGTGAGATCGATTAAAATACGGCCATTTCTAAAAATAATTTAAAATTTAGCAAAAGAGAGCTATAATAGGTTGTGAGAAACAAGTTGGATCGCAAACAACACTTGTGAAGGGCTGTTTGAAGGCCTCGCGAATTTGAAAAACAAGGAAGTCAAAAATAAAAAACAATCAAAAGCAAATCAAAGACCCAAAAATCGCAAATCAAACCCATAAAAAAAGACCATAATTCACTTGGATCAGTGCCAATTTTCTTAAGAAACTTAGTTTCACGGCCCGACTTCTCAAAAAGGCAGCTCGCTGTTTCTCATAAATTTGGCTATTTAATATATTCCGTTGGCGTATTGGGGAAAAGCAAAATTTTTCCAGCGTGAAGTGAGTCATCTCCGTAAACAATAAATAAGCAAATGATAATTTCTACTGAAAACAAAAATGTGAAGAAAGTGGCACATCGAAGTAACCGAGTGGTCGTTGGTGCGGTTTTTGCGCGAAAATTGTGCAGCTTAGGCGTGTTTCATTTGCTAAATGAATGAACAGCTGGCTAAGTTCTAACATTTCCTTGAGACTGAAAGTTTCGTCACGATAGTCGCAAAATTTTTTCTGAATTTCCCAGACAAGCATATGAGAGGTGAAAATTGGCAAGTTCTAATGGAGAGCATATGAGAGGTAAAGCACTTTTTCGACACAATGCGGATTGCTGCCTAGGCGGAAGAGTAACATATTGATGAATAGGCACGAGAATACAAAAAATGTGTACTATTGTAAATTATACTCTAAAACATCTTTTCACATCTCCCAACTCGTTATATTCTCCTTACAATCCTTTTCTGAGCTCTTCTCCTATTCTTGAGCATGCGAGATCCTCATAAACCTCCTTCAGTTCCCAGTATATTACTGTTTGTTTACAATTGCGAAAAAGTACATGTTAGGTTTTAAGAGGCATTAAGAGAATAAAATGGAGGTGAATGGTGTTAAGAAGTGGAAAACGCAAAGATGCATAATGTATAATCCGATGGGTCTGTTTCAAGATGATATTATTAAGATAATGCATTGAAACAGCACAACGCTTCAAGAATCTAAGAGATTTTTTCTAAAAATTGGCAAGTTCTAGTAGATAATATCAAACACCACGTACAGAAATTAGGAATGCGGGTTCCCAGAGAGTACCAATGAGTAACAAAGATTTATTAGGGGTGCAGTTAACCAGTTCGTCAGAGAAGCCGATTGTTAATAGGCAGTCGACTGGTAAAAAGTCCAATTATAACAGTTTGCGTGTTCAAAATGAATATCTTTTTCGAGAAAATCGAATCATCCTCGACGCCTCGTTGGGTGGACTCTTGGATGAGGGAAGGAGGGGCTCTTCTGGAGGAACAGAAGCGGATTCACCTTCGCATTCACCCTCTATCTGGTTCTTCGTCTTTTCGCAACTTATTGATTAATTTTGATTTATCGATCTTTTGATTTAAGGTGGAGAATGTGATCGCTGGCGCTAATAAATATTGTTCTGAGTACAAGCAACAAAATGAAGAGCGAACTGATGTACAATTGAAGGAAGAAGAAGAAGTAAAATCAGCAAAGATTTTCTTTACGCAGTTTTTACTGAACAGTTATGGCAAAAAAATACAGTAGGGCTCGAGTGTTAAAGGATGACTAGGAAAATTTTCAGTGAAGAAGGTTAAAAGTTCTGGGAGCGACTATCTTTCTGGAAAGTCACCTGAATATACCATCTTTATGGTTTAATAACATTTATCTTCGGTTCGGTCGACCTCACTGACGTTGAAGTCCTTGCGGCGGAAAGTCGTCTAGCGAGCGATATACAGATGGGTCTCCTGGTTTTTTCAAGTTTATTTCTGTAAAGAACTGAACCAGTAATATTTGCTTTCAGTCAAAGCAACCACATCTCTAAACATAAATCATTTCCCAAATAGAAATGAAATAAAGTACGATGAAAAACAAACCAAATTAATCCTATGGATGAAGAGCGAAAAGTTTGAAGTGATGATTATAAATTAAATCAAGAACTAAAAGTTAATGTACAGTAAATATACTATTTGTAAAATAAATATATTAATATTTGAAAACAGTGGGATTTTGCTCGCCTGCCACGCATTAATATTTTAGAATAACCTTGATCCGGCCTTTATCAGAACAGTAGAATAAACACTGATCACTGCACATAAAATTTTATTCGCCACTTGGGTAATTAAATCTCAGTAATATACTGATAAGAAAAAACAATATTCGATACAAATTAAACCCATAGGCTAAAAAATAACTATCTCAGAACAAATAAGAAATGATTAAATAAAGCATATTAAATAACAAAAGGGTAAAATATTGAATATTGGGATCCAATTGCTTGGGTCCTTTGATGGCTACACAGTGAGGGAATAATTTCTTTGAGAAAAATATACAACATATACTATAAATTGACCTTTATTTTTTATTGACATATGTGAAGGCAAAGAATTATAAAAGGCTTTATTTGGTAGGTCGTGGGTCACCAGTTTGAAATAATGAATTTGAAATAATAGAAAACATCGCAACACTAATTAAACATTCGCGACACTATTCAACGAGAAAAGTAGTGTGAATCAAAAATCATGCTTACATGTTATAAAAACGAGAGGGAAGTGAAATTATAACATAGTGACAGGATATAAAATGCAAACAAGATCAACGTACACTGAAAGGCATAACCAAGTAGTTGGCATCACCTACAAGAATATCTGCTCAGTATTTGGCTTAAATCCTCCAAAGATTAGATAGGAGGCTCCCCAGGAAATCATAGGGAATAATAAGGCCAAGGCCTTGTGGATTTCTCCATACAAATATCAACCAGATCATGATAGTCAGCACTCGTTATAGATGTAGCAATACCAGTGACAGAAAAGAAGAAAAAAGTGGGAAATATCAGGCACTGATAGAGGAGCTAGAGAATATGTAGGAAATGAAAGCCAAGAAAGTTCCAGTAACAATAGAAGCATCAGGGCCCTAAACTAGAAAAGGCTTTCAGATTCCAGGAGGTTTTTGCCCTGTACTGCCAGTAAGATAGCACAACCTCAAGCTCCCAGACCTCTGGTAGAGGAGCGGAGGTTAAGAATGACCTCCATCACCCACAGGGAGTGAGAAAAGGATTTTTCTATTTTGTTTCTATTTGATTATAAAGATAAATTTCATTAAGCTTAAGTAATTTATTGAATATTTGATAATATTTTTACGAAAATTCTTTTCCTCTAATCGATCGTTATTTAATTTAATGCATAATTCATATAATCAATGCAGAAAGAAAGTCTGCTTCAAGCCATCATTTCTTTTAAAAAGAAAAACGAAAGAGTGAAATGACAGAAAGGAGAGGGGAAGCGTCAACGGTACTATCATCGCCGTTAGTGTATCAGAAAATATCGCTTTCCATCGTGCATCGTTCATTCCAATTATTGCTATTCCATTACAGCGCTAATTTTCTCTCTAACTAGCCGCTTTTTCCAGAAACGCTCTAATAATAATATTAATTAATAGTAATAATAATTAATAATAATAATTAATAATAATAATAAATAATAATATAATAATAATAATAAATAATAATAATAATGATAAAATAATAATAATCAGAATAAGCTCTCCTTTAAATGTGCTCTCTGAATAATTAGCAACTTTTATTCTTTTGCATGAAAGGAAATTTTTTTCTCAAAAGATATCTCTTTTTATCGAAGAAATCCGCTAATCCAGAATTTGACGGTATTTTTCTATTCTCATTCGCATTTTAATGCAAGTATTTTCTGTGATGAATTAATCTTATAAACTAATCTTATAATCACTAGATCCATTTGCTTAGCTTAAATGTTTGAAGAAAAAACTAAAAAGAATTTTAGTTTTTTTTTTTTTTTGCGAAACTGCTAACATTTTTCAATCGAGTGGGTTACGTCTTTCTTGTGAATCGTGTGCGGCTAGCGTTTGTCATCTCTGGTTGAGCTCATTTTTAACAGGAAGTATTTGGCGATAGAAATGTGGATGAGTCTCCAACACATCCGGCTTCTTAAATAATAGATTAGCTCTCCTTTAGGAGGCATTGCCTCGCGATGAAAATCTAAACGCTCGGCTACCCCACCTTTAAAAATTCTTAAATTATCTAAATTTCAAAAATTCAAGACTTTCATATTCTTTAGAAGTATTTAAAATGGCTTCTCATTTCATTTCTGGAATAAAGCAAATATTTTTATATTTTTTTCAGTTTTTCTCTTAGCACTAATTGATTTTGCCTAAGGCATCTTTTATTTCCTTCTATTCATCTTTTATTCATCTGTTTATTCCTCTCTTGTCAAGAATATTATCTGAATATTTAAAATAAATAGCTTTTCATTCTTCTTAATTCAATTCGTACTCATTTATTATTTGTTTCATAAATAATTTATTAGGCATTTTCGCAATTATTTGTTTCATAAATAATTTATTAGGCATTTTCGCAATTTTTATTTCCTCATTTCTGATTAGCTTAATTGCTAATATGATGAGAAAATTCTGTTCTGTTGGAGAATCACTTAGGATACAAGTACATCTGGATTCTTGGCACCATCAAGACCTTTTAGTGAAAGGTTCATTCTTACCAACTGCAAAAGTAAGAATATTTGGTGTAAAGAACAACCACTCCATTATTTTATTATTTTATATATTCAACATACATTTTCTTTCTAAGAGCCCTCATCGTTGCTAATTAGCTCTTTATTGCTGACCTGTCGGACTTGACAA